ATTCACTGCCAGCAGTAAGTATATTGTTTTGTTAAGAGAATCATCCATCTTATATACATGCCATTTCCTACACTTACAATCAAAATAATAGATGACCTCTTCAGGTTGGTGAAACGAGTACCTACTCTTTATACAGGGAACTGGGAACTTTCTAAAGTTTGATGTTTTTTCCTCCTCTTTACATTGCCATTTTTCTTTTATTAAAAAAAAATGCACCATCTCCCTCTCTCACTATATATCTCTATTTTGAATTTTCATTTACTCTAAACCCTCCTTCCTGGTTTCTTACTATGTACTTCCTGCCCCTCCAGTCCATCCCTGAGAAGATAACGCAGCTGTCAGCCTTCCATTCTTCCACAGGGGCCTGCCCCAATCTGTTCCCCTCCTTGGTCAAGAGACTAGTCATGGGTAACACAGAATGTCTCTTTAGGTTATCTCCAGATGAGCGGTTGGTGTTGGAGTCTGAGAAGAGGAGACACAACTGAAAATGAAGATCTCATAGCAAATATCTTCATAAAAATTTATCCCACTCCACAAGTACATTTGTTCCTCACATATCGTACTCAATTCTCAAGAAATTTCCTTCAATTAAAATCATGTAGTGGAGTGGGATATTGCTTAAGTCTTTTGGGTCATGATGAACATTTTATAACTTTTTTAAGTGTCTTAACTATTTCAGCATCCTCTCTGTCAGACCGTCATCAACAAATCAGATGAATAGCACAAAACTATGGTGAGGTAAGTTTAACTCTGTACTTTAAAACTCCAGTAAGTTCTTTTTTTTTTTTTTTTTTGAGGAAGATTAGCTCTGAACTAATATCTGCTGCCAATCCTCCTCTTTTTGCTGAGGAAGACCGGCCCTGAGATAACATCCGTGTCCATCTTCCTCTACTTTATACGTGGGACGCCTGCCACAGCATGGCTTGACATGTGGTGCCATGTCCACACCCAGGACCCGAACTGGAGAACCCCAGGCCGCCAAAGTGGAATGTGCACACTTAACTGCTGCACCACTCGGCCGGCCCCCAGTAAGTTCTTTGTAAGCAATGTTTTAAAGGTTAGTCTACTAAGGAATATAGTTTCTAACTTTGACAGCTTTTGACAGTGCAGTGTTGCTAAAAAAAATTTGTAAGAAAAACACTATTTTTGCAACAATGACAACATAAAGATACCCAGAGTTGAGGGGATATTGAATGTATGATTTTATAAAAGTAGGTGGAAGGCTAGGTGGTCAGTCACATAGAACACTTGTTCTGATTCAAAAAGATCGTCGCAAGTCTCTCCGCAGCCACTCCTGGAGGAATAACTTTCATGCTTAGTGAGAGAGATATTAGTGAAAATTAGAGATATTGAATTATGATTTATATTTTCTTTTTTTTATTTGGACCTGCTTATTTCACTGATCTTTACCCATTTAAATAGAAGCCTGCTGTAAAAAAATAATTCAATGCAAAGCAAGAATATTCTGATTTAACCGGTGGGATAAAACACAAGCTTTCCATTTTGTTATGTTGACAATAGCTGATATAACAAAAACACCATCTCCCTTATCTGGACGAGACCTTACGTGGGTGAAAACAAAGTAATAACAAAAAATAGGAAGCCCCTTGAGTGCGAACTTAGAAACCTAACCTAAAGTGATAACACTCAGTATTATTTATGTCCCTGACTTTCATCCATTTTCCCTGCTCTTTCTCTTTCTTGCTTGCTTTTCAAGAATGCTTTGCAGATTGAAGCAGTGCATTAACGATTTTATTTGTCAGCCTCTATTGTTGCCAATCCTTTTGATCCATTTTCTTCTCTTCTGACTTCTCAATGCATTATTTTCATCTTTTTATATTTTTATATTTTATTGATGCGCTGCTTTAGAACTTCCACTAAATGTTGCTTTTATTTTTATTTTATTCACTTGATTTCTTTCTCCTGGAATTAGAGTTTTTACATCTAGGATATTTATACAGAGTGCACGGCTCTCACTTGCACACAATCCACAAACAGGGATCCCTTTAAGGAAATCTGGTGAAATAATAAATGTGTGGTCTCGTGGTCTATGGAATGAGGCAGACATGGATTTGAATCCTCTCTCCATCTTTTATTTTCAAGAGACAACAGGTACTTAACTATTCTGAGCCTCAATTTCCTTCCCTTTAAAATATAGATAATAACACCCACATTGAGATATTATTTTGAGGATTAAAATTTGAGAATGTCAACTACCTTGCACCCAACAAATGGCAGCTACTATCATTATTATCGTTATGTCTACTATTTCATTGCAGTTGTGATTACGAGATTCTATGTGGATCTAAATGTGAAAGGTGAAAGCTTAAGGCTTCTAGAGGAAAACAAAGAAGAATATTTTCATGACCTAGGTTAAGAAAAGACACAAAAAGCACTAACTTAAAGAAAAGACCAATGTATTAGACTTTATTAAAATTAAAAACTTCTATGCGTAAAAAAATAAGAAACTGAAAAAGTAGGGCTCATACTATAGCATATTAGAAAGTTTTAACACTATTTAAGAAAAAGACATACAAACTAATAGAAAAATTGTCAAAAACTTTCACAAAAGAGGGTATCCAAATGGTCAATAAGCATATGACAAGGTGGCCAACCTCATTAGCCACTAGGGAAATGAAAATTAAAACCACAGTGAGATACCACTACACAACCACCAGAATGACTCAAATTAAAAGACTAACAGAAATAAGTTTTAAGGATAATGAATAACTAGAATTCTCAAACGCCACTGATGGGAGTATAAATTAGTCCAATCACTTTGGGAAAGTTGCAGTTTCTACCAAAATTGAACATACATGTCTCCAATGATCCAGTCATCTCTCTACTACATGGGAACTAAAAGACTTGTACGAGAATGTTCAAGGTTGTGTTATTTACACAACTGGGTAAAATAAAGTGCAGTATATTGATACAATGGAATACTATTCAGAAATGAAAATTAATGAATCTGCTACACACCACAACATGAGCTTGGGTATGGGAATCACAAGTATAATATTGAGAAAAATATGCCAGAGGCAAAAGAATACAAACTGTATGATTCCTTTTATAAAAAGTTCAAAATTAGGCAAAATTAAGCTACCATATTTAAAGTGAGAATGGTGTTTATCTTTGGGTGGGGAGGCACAGGTGACTTGAAAGGACATGAGGTGGGTTTTTGGGGTACTGAGAATGTTCTTTTGCTTGTCTGGGTCATCGTTATCCAGGTGTGTTCACTTTGTGGTAATTCTAATGAACCCCCAGGATGTGTGCACTTTTCTATAAGTTTGCTCTATTTCAGTATACAAGTTTATGACAGAAAAAAATCATTGCCTTATCTAAGAAAAACTTTGTTGAAGTTTGGTTTGTTGGATTTTTTTGTCGAGTGGGTTGATTCATCCAGATTTCTTTTCAAAGGTAAGTTATGTTTTGAGAGGAATGAGAGCAAATGCAATTTTGGAACTGAAAACTGAAATAATCTCAATCACCATTTACAAAAACATAAACACTTCATTTGTTGGTTTTTTTCAAATCCCTCCAGTCTCTGAAGAGAAGACCAGACATGTAGATGACCAACCCCCAGGCCTGAGAAAGACATGAATTTTAATCAACTAATCACCTTTATAAGCAGCATCTCAGTTCTTTAAAAACATCAATAACAGTTTGATACATATTGTGGACATTGAATCAGCAGTAATGGGTCTTTTAACGATGCCTTTCATTGACTTGCATTTTAGTGTTACAAAGTTTAGTTAATTAAGGGATGTATAAGGAACACATAAGAAAAGCCATGGGGGCCGGCCCAGTGGCACAGCAGTTAAGTGCACACATTCCACTTTGGCGGCCCATGGTTTGCCGGTTCAGATCCCGGGTGCAGACATGGCACTGATTGGCATGCCATGTTGTGGTAGGCTCCCACGTATAACGTGGTGGAAGATGGGCATGAATGTTAGCTCAGGACCAGTCTTCCTCAGCAAAAAGAGGAGGATTGGCAGCAGTTAGCTCAGGGCTGATCTTCCTCAAAAAATAAAAAAATTAAAAAAATTTTAAAAAAAAGGAAACCCATTTTAAAACCTCTACTGAGTGTGCTGAGGTCTGTTGTTGAGGATATTGCTCATTAATTTTCTCAGGGTCGTCGTAAGACACTTCTGTGATAGAAATTAAGCTGAAAGATTAGTGCCAGAAAACAACTTGCTCTCCCTAAAAAACTAATTTGTTTTCTTCAATGTAAATCAGGTGAATGGCTAAATTTCCTTTCCTTTGACCATCAGGATAAGTGGAGCCAAAGGGACTTATTTCCTTTACATTCTGCTTTCTGGATTGTTCACTACTTTCTATTCTGATTTGCATTTTTCTATTCCTGATTTTATTTTTATTTTATGGTTTATATTTTGTGTAAGTCATCTCCTAAGTGGAAACAAGAAGACAAAAAACATATTTCCAGACAAGTAAATAAATAAACATGTTTGTGATTCACATTTAGTGCAAAAGACAAAAAATGTCTTTCATCTTTAATAGAAAATTTTCTGCAATGAATACCCATATACAAGACAATAATACAGTAAATATCAAATAAACAAAACAGGCTACAAAAGCTATCCATTCAGAAAATGAAGTCCTCACAAGTGCACTGAAATTGGTGGAGAGGAGAAATTTGACCTGGGACCTCAAAGGTTTCTATGAAGCAGATAAACAAGAAACATTTACAAGGACACTGAATTGACTGATTACTTTTGCAGAAGATACTTGCGCTTTAAACCTTTTCTCTCATTATTGAGTGATAGATAGGAATTATGTTTCTCCATGTTAACAAAATGTATGTTTAAAAAATTAACATTTAGGAAACAGCTTAGCATATCGTAAAATTTAAATAAATGCTAGCTACTACTAAAACTATGACAATTATAGCTACTATTATAAACAGTACTCCAACGGGAGAAGTATTTTTCATTAAGATAACTATCCCGATCCAACTCAAACCACTGTGCGTGGCCAGTTACCTGTTCCACCACTGAGTGAGCACAGGCTGAAAGCGTGTTTTGTCTTTGTCTTTCACCACTGCAGCAGATCCGAGTAGATAATTGGAATATTGGTCAAGACAATGGAGCTAAAGGAGAAACAACGATAAACAAGCTTGAATGGAATCTGTGCCACTTATAATCTACTGATCTTGCATAAGTAAATTATCTAAAATGAGACCATTACTTTCTATCTATAGGTTTGTAGGATAATTACGTATGATCATATAAATAAAAGATTCTTCACATGTATTCAAGATGCTAGTGAAAGGATGGGAATCTCATGGGCCAATGTATCATAGTTAGATGCCAAACAGCGCTTTACAAATGCCACGACAAGGGAATAAAACTGCCGCACACACGGAGAGCCTGATAAAACGGCCCCAGGTGAGGCAGAGCCTTTTCTGCAGAGTTTAATGATCCAAAACTCGACGGCAACGTTCACGCTGCTTGAACTTTGGAAATTTCTTACTTGATTCTCAGTCTGTTTTGATCCACTAATGGCTCTTGTCACCCACCCTCAGTTTCACCTCTCAGATTATGGACTTTACCTGTCAATTGCTTATGGGAAGCAGGTATAAGCCCTTTGGGTTTTATTCATTCAACAAATATTTAATGGGTACCTAGTGTACATCCGACATTGTTCTAGATTCTGGATATACAGGCAAGAAGAAAACAAAATCCTTTTCATATAGAGTGTTCACTCCAAGAGGTGAGATTTAATAATGAAAATATTTTATTCAGACAACATCAAGGCTGATTGCAATAATGAAATAATTGAAGAGATGTGAATAAATAGCATAACTATATCTAAACGCAATCAGATTTAAAGCAAATGGATTTTTTATAGAGGGGTGTGGAGGAATCATTGAAGCCTATTTCAGTGGATGCGACAATAAAATGGCATCGTAATAAAGCATGGTATATTGTATATTGCAAAGACAATGGCATCAATACCATGCACTTCTTATAGTGACATTGATCTTTGAATCTGGATGGACTTGTGTAACTGTTTTAATCAACAGAATGTGACAGAAGGGTTGCTGTGAGACTTCCAATAATTACAAGGGACAAAAGATGGGTCACAATGCAACCCCCATCCTCAGTGGAGAGTCATTCCATGGCCCATTCTCCCCACATACAAACGTGTGACCTGAAGACTCATTATTCAGTCACTCAGTTCAGCATCTGTTGTTAACCTTGACTTGGATCACTTGACATGATTTGGTTTAGTTGAGCCACAAAGGCAGCCTCGCTGAGTATCTGAAGCCTTAATTGCCACACATGGCCTAACCTAAGGCCACCCAGCCATCAGGAGAAGCGTATGATCAGTTAGATTGAAATAAGATTGTGTCCGTGCGTCTTCATGTTTGGGAGCTGCCATTGACGGCACCAGGCACAACAGAAGAGTCAAGGCCCGCCTTGTTCACCTGAGTGTTTTTGTTTTTATAACACGTGAACAGAGATAACAAACTCAGCTTCAGGTCAGACTGTCAGGTGCAGCTGCCGCATCTAGAGGACAAAGAGGACTCATCATCCTCTGCCAGCCGTACCTTCTGGGGTCTAAGTTGCTCCCTCCCTGAGTGCTGGGGGGTTTCGCCCACCCTCTTCCACCAGGAAATTAGGGCATCCAGTCCCAGTACCTATAACTTTACCTTTTCTTCAAATATCCACCATTCACACCTAGAATTTTTTTCCTCATCATTACTCAAGATGCAGCCACAATGAGATGATCCTTTTCTGAGAACAAATTTATTCACACTCTTACTGATGTGTGTGGACCAGGAGGAGGCAAGGGTGGTAGAGCCAGAAGTCCTGCTAATACTCAGCACTACCCTAAATCTATAGATGGGGGGCATGGAATGTCCATCAAATACTTTGACCATTGGTTCGTTGCTGGATGGACTTTATGACAAAAAGAACATCATTGTCACACGGTAGAAGGTCCAGAAACCAAAAAACATGACATGTTAGTTTCGAGGGCCAAATGGCATGGACTGGACCACAACGCTGTAACCTAAAAAGCTGTCAGAGGCACTGTGCCACCACTGATAGCCCCAAGGGGGTGAGGAAGAACAAAAGTCCAATGTGTGCAAACTGCCAGGTACAGGAAGGGTAAACACCTTGTGCAAAGTGTCCTCCTTCACCACGAGGCAAACAAATCATCTATTGGCAGGAACCACAAACTGGGCATGCAGTGGCAACTTCAGTATCAGACATAGAACCCTAGTGCCCAATGGTGATGTGTGGCCATGTACAAAGTGACGACAGATCCACATGGCAAGGCAGTAATTTGGGCAGTGCAGGTGTGATCAGGAGCTTGGCTTCAGTCAGAGAATGAACACTTATCACGGGCCTCTATGTGAGCAACCCAGACTGCTAAGTCAGCAGCCATGATTTGTTTTCAGTTTGTGGTCCCAAAGAATGGCACCTTTAATCTGTTTATCTGTGATCTTTCAACTGACAAAACAAATGGCAAGGCCATTGGCAACAGCACAAGAGTTAGTAAAAATATCAGGGGGAGTAGTGGCCAGAACTTTGAGAACAAGCTTGAGTTCTGCCCATTGAGTGGAATCACCACTCCTGTTTCCAGTTCTGCGTAGCCCAGACTGAGGCTAACACTGCTACAGCCCCGGGGGATGCCAGAGGACACCATCAAGTGTCAGCTTAGCTGAACCATCAGTGAACAAGACCCAGGGGTTTAGGGCAACCTGTGTGAATTAAGGGCCCTTCTGAACCAGCACATTTACTTCAGGCAGCAGAGTGGGAGATCAAAGGGGTAGCTGCCACTCATCCTGGGAAACCAAGATGATGCTAGGGCCAGTTAGCTGATCCCCTGAACACATGATTTTCATTTGACTGGAGGGAGTGTTTAGCAAGGCTATGCTCTCTACAGTATTTAAAGAATCCTACAAGGGGCTGGGCTTTCTTTTCATAAGAGTAGGGCCAAAGAGATAAAAGTTTTCAATTGAGTGTTGGAGGAACTGTGCATTACAAATCCACTCACACAGTCCTAAGAACTCTCCTTGGGAAGGAAAGCAATCTCTGAATTTTGTCAGGGTTTGAGGTACTGGCTGAGGTATGATAGCATCACTGTCAGTCCCAATGAGCTGCAGCTTGTGACTTGCCAATCAACAGGACATCATCCATGTAGTGAATACTCGGGACATCAGAGGAGCAAGGCACTCACACTGAATCCCGACCCACATCCACTGGGTTGAAATGGCAGGGCAGTTTGTCCTACTTGCATTTTTTCTACGCTCTAAACAACAGCCTCTCATCTGATGCTTTATGAGTATTTACAGCACAAGCATGTCCCACTTTTGTTATGTATTTTCATAATAAACGTAGGTGGGGGCCAGCCCGGTGGCATAGTGGTTAAGGTCATGTGCTCCACTTCAGCAGTCTGGGGTTCGCAGTTTCAGATCCCGGGTGTGGACCTACACACCATTCATCAAGCCAGGCTGTGGCAGCATCTCATACGTAAAGTAGAGGAAGATGGGCACAGATGTTAGCTCAGGGCCAATCTTCCTCACCAAATAAATAAATAAAGTATGTGACTTTGTCCACAGGGCTCCACCTATGAGATCATTTTAACTTCTTTTTCTTCACAATGCATTTTGTTCAAACCTTATCATTTAAATTCAGATGCTTTTTCCACCAGAGAAACACACATAAAGGAATTTAACACCTCCATTCCAGAGGCCACAGTCACAACTACCAGAAGTGGTGTTATCTCCTGGCTGGGAACTTGGGGAGTGCAGGAAGGTGGTGGAGACTAGCCTGCAGGAATGGCTGGAGCCACCAGTGAACTGTTGTTTTCTCCTTTGGTTTCTTACCTCCAGGCCAGTGCCACCTCCTCCCCATGCACCTCCAAAATCTGGAGCCTGCCCAGGTCCAGGGCTCTTTCTTTCCGCCCCTGTCACTATGGCTTCCACTGTAATCTGGGCACCATTCAACCACCCAGCACCCAATGCCCCCAGTCACGCAGGATCAGCTAAGGGTGACCTGAACTCTGGTATCCAGCACCGCCATAAAAGTTTGAGTGACTGCCTTCCCTGATGTTCCTCAGCACCTTTGGTTTCCTCCTTAAAGCAGCTAAAGATGTAGCCAAGGGGGGAAAAGGCACCAGGGGCTGTAGGAGGAAAGACCAGCTTCGTAGGCTCTGTACCAGTGGGCAAGGCTTTGCATTTACCTTTAAGTTTGAGCAGCTGACCTCTCAGGTTCAACAAACAAACTTCAAATGTTTTAAATGCACCAAAGCTCTATCTTCTCATTGCTAATACCACCTGTTCCAGCTTTAGGACCCCCTACCTCAGCAGTCACCTTGTGTTTTGGCTGTGGTCCTGGGGCTTGCTGCCCCAATGTCATTATAACATCCCTTCCTCCTCCCATTTGGAGGAAAATGAACCTAGACACCATTCAGGTGACTAGTTTCAATCTTACCGCTCACCATTCAGCCTCCCAACAGTCATTAATATGTAGAACAGTGGGAAACTCTGACCTCTACCCTACCACTGAGGTAAGAGCATTCACTACCAGTTCCTGTGGAGTTTTCTCATACGCCCTAACCCAGCCCATATGGGCCCTCATCCATTCTACTACAGAAATCCATGATACTATCAGCAACCCATCCTCATTGCCAAAACTCAAACCTGAGCAGTCTAAGATTTTACCCTACTTTCAAGTAATAAGTTAGGTTGTAAGTGTTTCAAGACTTACGGTGCTAGAAGACACAAGACTCCTGGCATAGAGACAAAGATCTGTATTACAAAAGCAGTAGCCAAAGCTCCATGTTGGTTTCCTTCTGTTCCCCAGAGGCAAATAAAAGGGCCCATCATGGTTCTCTGCACTTGCAATGGGTTGCGGTACAGGAGAGAAACAACGAGCTTGGGAAATTTACCATTATAATAAGTGGAAGCAAATCATGTTACTTCATCTCTCAAATATATCCTGAGGAATGGCCTGGCTAAAGAGCAGTCAGAGCCTTGCATTCTTAGCACACTCAGCAAGAATATACAGGGATGTTCAGGGTCCGTTGCAAATTGTTTCTTCCACCAGAATGAGGGTCAAAATTGGTTTGCATTCG